CACGCCCAGACCTGGAGGCTCCTAAACCTTTAAGGGGGTTTAGGGTTTAGGGGTTTAGGGGTTTAGGGTTTATAGGGTTTAGGGTTTAGGGCTTAGGGCCTAAATCCCTAAATCCCTAAACCCTATAACCCTAAACCCCTAAATCCCTAAACCCTAAATCATTACCAATACTGTTCTGGGGGTTCCTTAATTTAATAATTATAGTATAATATACCCCAACTCCCTATTCTGATTATTCAAGCCCCTATCGTAAACCTGGTTTGGGGCAGCGCTCATGTTGGAGTTTCAGTGGGTCGATATATAGGGCTTCCTAGGAACCTTGGTGAGGAGTTAGGGCTTTCCGAAAACAATAAAGAGCAGTGCTATGCAGTGTCCTTATTGTAGGATCCTTTTGAGCGGATCCTTGAACTCACATGCCCAAATTCGAAAGCCGGAACCCTGAACCGAAGTAATGCAATGCGCCTATTCGATTGGCCTTGGTAACTATAGCCAGTGGTCCCCAACATTAAAGTACTTCACATCGAGATCCACCACATGGCCTCCGTAGTAGACAAAGGCGAGGAAAAAGGTGAGGCCTCCGATGCGCTCTGGGGCTTGAATTGGGTTTGGGGGTCATGGCTTTAGGGGTTTTAGGGTTGAGGGTTAGAGTTTATGGTTTGTGTCTACGCCTTCCGGCTTACGGCGCTTACAGGGTTTGAAGGTCTGGGCCTAGGCCTTAAAAGGATTGGGGTTTAGGCTTGAGCAGGGCCGAGGTGTAGCAAAGGGTTCTGGGTTGAGAAACCCCCAACCCTAAACCCTAAAACCCTGAACCCTACACCCTGAGCCCGGGGTTCGGGTTGCCAGGCTTGAGAAATCTGGAACGTTGTGTTCGCAAGGGTTTGTGTAGAATAGGACTTCCTGACAAAGGAAGCCCGAGCCCCGAAATCCAGAGCCCTCACCCCAATCCCACGGTGTAGGGTTTAGGGTTTAGGGTTTTGGGCCCAAAAAACAAAAATCTAAGAACCCAAAATCCTGAAGCCGAAATTCACCGACAAGCTGAGGAATCCGACTAATGGAAGACTGCCATCGTCTGGGCTCCTGAACGAGGAGATTTCGCAACGGGCCTCAAGGTTTAACACTTCTATAAGACTTTGGGGTCCTGGATCCTTAGCCGAAATTTATGGTACTTCGGGGGGATTGTGTGGGGTCTTGGGTTGTAGGATGTTGTAGGGCGAAGGAATTCGGATCGAGTGTTGAGAGGCATCTGCGCACTGCGCACTGCTATTGTTTTTGGTAGTCATCGTTGCTGTTGCCGTTGCTGTTGCTGCCGCTGCTGTTGCTGGTTGGTAATGGTGACAGTTGCAGTGATACCAACCTTAGTATACTCTAGTACTTTGGACACTTCTTTGCCTACCTGCCACGACTGTTTTAATTGCACAACAGGTGACCCTTGCCTCGATTATGATGAGGCCGCAACAACACCGATTTAGCAACTCGGCATGTAATGATGCACGCTGCGGAGGATGCGTAACAGGGAAGACTGGCCAGTGTTGGCAAGAAACAGTTCATGATCTATTATCGATCCAAGAGGGTCCAGATATACTATTGTGGAATGCGGTCCCCAAAACCATAGTAGGGATGGTCTTTTGGGACCTTATACCAGAATGGTATAGTGTATGTGGACCCTTTGGGGATTAGAAAGGGGTGGTCGATTGGAGCTTCGGGCAGTCCCAGGAGGGAGCATGGAGCTTGGATGGCTCTCGAAAGGCACCCAGAGAACCCAATACCCCTTAATTAAGGAAATATACCTTCAATCATAATATTAAGGCCCCTATAATTATTTAAGGTACATTCCTTAATGAAGGGGTATTGGGTTGTCTGGGCAGGCTCCAAAAGTTTCAGTGCCGGGCTTAGGAGCGGTGTTGTGTATTCCCCCCCCACAGCTGAAACCGAAAGAAGCAACGCAGCAATGCCTTCATGCACTCGTAGACAACGGGAAAACAAGGATGTCCTGCGAATCGCCAGCTTGCATTGCTTCGTGGGTTAGGGAGCACTACTCACTACTTGCTAAGGAGTATATATCAATAATTACGCGACCCGAACGTCTCAGACATACCTCAGGGGATGAGGAATCTGATTCACGGAGCCACATGCCACCTGCAGAGACATGGACTATTTACAGCTTGCATACTCATCTCTCCCACGCGGGTGCTTCAGCAATGCTCTGGAAGTTATTTTATGTCGCCGTGTGGACATGGGATCCGAAAACGAGTGTATCGTACCAAGTTGTACATACTACCGACGTATATGGTTACACAGGCGAAAACCTTCCAATGGAAGGTTGAGAGTGGCAGCATGTGCTTTGATCGCTGGCTGGTCCAAGACAACATTTGCCGTTTCGGAAGCCATCTAAACAGCATCAAACGAATCCCTGAAATCGAGCTAAAGACAGACCACATCAACTCCTAGCAAGTCTCCCACGAACCGTCCCTCAAGCTGATGCAATGCTCATAACTCCTGCGAAGCAGAACACGATAATGCCCACCGAGCGGGGGATGTTCCTGGAAAGAGCGGGTCTGGGCACATGGGAGGGTTTTGGTATATTCAACACCTTAGACTTTACTTACAACAAGGAACCGTACGGAACTGCATAACCAATTCTTCCGGCGTCCATATTGGACTTGCTTTCAGAGCTTCAGGGCACTGCCCGGGGCTCAAGCTTCTTCGGTGGAGGGCTTTCGCGGGCTTCGGCATTTAAGGAGGGTTTTAGGGTTCGTGGTCTAGGGTTTAGGGCTCGGGGTTTAGAGGGTTTGGGGTTTCCGGTTGATACCCCCCAAACGAAGTTCAAATTGTTTTCTTGAGCAAGGACCCTCAACTTTGGAAGGGGGGAGTACTCGTGCTCAGGGCACGAACAACGATGCAAGGTATAGGTAACACTGAACACCATCCCCAAGAAGCACAGGTACACCGGCCAGGACATGTCCTTGGAAGTGACCCTAAACTTGAGAGCCTGTTGAGCCCTTCACCCAAAGCCTTTACTAAATCCGAAGACTCCAACCCCTCAACCCCCGAAACCCTTGATCCCATCCACCCTGAAGTTGCGCCCAGGGCTCTGCAGCTGCAGCAGCGCGTCAAGGCCCAAGTGATCGTAGGGATTCGCCTCAGGTCTGCTTGGAAAGTTGAAGGCTTTTGTGTCTTAGTTATGGCTTAGGGTATTAGGGTTTAGGGTATTAGGGCATTAGGGTTTAGGGTGCTAGGGTTTAGGGGGCGTCACACGGATTAGCGGATTTTAGGCCAGGCTTGAGAGAGCTTCGGAATGAAAGCATGCATCGCATTTGAGCGTAGCCTTCGCAGAGTAGGTGAAAGCTCTGAAGTTGTCGTCCGAAATGTGTCGAAGCAATGGCAGTGAGGGAACCCTATGATGCTGCGACCACACCGGTGTAAACGTCGAAAGTCTGAATCCTAAATTTGAAGGATCCTTCACACAACCCCTGCAGTCCCTACAGCCCATAAACGAAGCAAGCAAAACCCATACGATTTTGGAAAAAAAGAGGACTGCTTAGTTTACTGCGGTATAGCTACCAATATCGTTGATATTGGTCACTCTGGTTCCTCCTAGCTTGAACCAGCGGTCTTTGAACCTTCGGGCATACGGGTCGAAGGTCTGGGGTTTAGGGTCTCGATTTGCAGCTTCGACTGCAGGGTTTTGGATCGGGGTTTCAGATGTCCGATTTTGGGGCTAACTTGGTGTTAAGATACCCTGGATCCTTGACGGTTGTCAGAGACGTCAGAAATCCGGCCACGGCATTGAACTATTGTTGAAACTTCGAGCTTTGGGGTTGCCCTTATATAGGCCCACGACATCCCTGAGCTGCGCAGTTTAGACCACAGACGGTTGCAAAACGCCAACTTTAAGATGCCTAAAACTCAGTCGCAAAGGGTTCAGAGTTCAAAAACAAGCCATTACATACATATTTGTACAGTTTCTATATACATCCACAGTGTAGCGCCACCTTACCAAAAGATAGGTTATGATGTGTGCCGCGAGAGGGGTGTCCGGCTCCATGAGCTGAGTGCCGGACCCACTCCCTCATGGTAAAGGCCTCCGTGCAACTTGGCTCAAACATGCTCAAACCCTAAACGGTTTGGGGTTTAGGGTTAGGGTTCTTGATTTAGGTCCCAACTTGTTCAAGCTGTTCTGCAAAGCACCAGTTCGCAGGGACAAAAAGACAAGTCAGGCGCTTGCGCTCGGTCCCGTTGTCAAAGGCACTTCCTCGTCTTCGGCCTCTTCGTCTTCTGCTGTCTCCACCTCGTCTTCAAGACCAACCTCTTCCTTGACCTCGCCTTTGACCTCCTGCTTGACCTCTGTCTTCAGAAATCGCGACGGCTCAGAAGGAAGAGGTCTAGTAGTGTTCGGCGCAAGCCCCAGCCATCTTCGTTTCACGCCGCCCCTTACCAACTCGTTGGGAGTCCGCCGCGACAGCACCGGAGAGTCGTCGTCGTCGTCATTTATGTCTATCACAGAGGAAACAGCAGCCACCGTCTCTTCAGTTTTCGGCTTCTGAAGCGCCCTGGCTATCACAGCAGGAACAGCAGCCACCGTCTCTTCAGTTTTCGGTTTCTGGAGCGCCCTCGAGGCAAACGCCAGGTGTTGAGTGCAACGCCGGATCAAGTTGTCAGCCCAGCCGCTGTCCCAGAGAAGTGTCGGCCGAGTTGCCAGCCCAAGTCGCGGCAGTTCCGGTGCTGCAGGTTCTCGTGGCACCGGCTGCGGAGGTGGCGCCTCTGGCGACACGTCAGCAGGTGCTGGTCGCAGAGACGCGGGTGCCGCTGGTGCCGTTGGTGCAGAAGGCGTGGAGGAAGCCGAGGATGCGGGCTCTTGAAGCGACCTTGCCGGGGGCTCTTGAAGTGGCACTTGCTGCGCCTTCCGCCTTCTTTTCAGGGCTGGAAGGGGGTCCTGCGGCTGGTTCGGCGGAGCTCGGGCTGCGTGTCGCTGCGCGGAGCGCTGCTCACAGAGAAAGCCATGTTGAGCTGGGCGACCAGAGCTCCAGGACTGATGGCATCTCTTGCAGCAGAATCCACCGAAGGGCTCAGTTCGGTGCACCAGGTATGAGCACTGCTCATTGGCACAAGCCAGCTCCATGGCATGACAGCAGTCAAGTCTACGGGCTCGGTCTCGGGTGTGACGAGGATGTAAACTTTCTATGCACAGTTATGTACATATATACGTACGTTTGTATCTATACAGGTACGTACATCATGTATTTACGTGGTAAAAAATCTTTTAACTTAATGATATTTTCTACCTGCGAACTTTGTACTGTTTCAGGTTGGTTGCCACAATGTCACACAATCGAGAGCTACGCCCGCAGTCTACGACCACACACAATGGTCTTTCAGGCTTCGACATAGCACAGCAAGGCGGCGAGTTTAGGGTGTCTAGCCGTTTTCATGCATCTGTCACCAGTTTCTTGAATCAGACGGTGTCGCTGCTCCTTACACCTGAGCCGAGCCTCTATCCAAAACCCTAACAAAGCAATCCAAAAGACCTGAAAGAGCCGACCAACTGGCCCAACACTCTCCCCCCAAATCTGAAGGCCCTGCAATCCCTTGCTTCCGGAAGCCGTGGATTCAGTGGCGCTGATTCCCCGGCCCTTCACTTCGACTCCGAATCCTTGAACGCGACATCCGAAAGCAGAAAAGTCAGGGGCTCTTAAATGTTTCTGGTTCCCTGTTGGCTGTTGGGGCCATATTAAACATGATCATTTTTAATCCTTATTAGGGTCTCCCCTCCCCACCTTTTAAACATGCCTGAACGCTAAGCCCGTAACCCCTAAACCCTAAACCCTAAACCCCTAACCCAAACTCCCCCGTCCCGCGGTGCCGCAGCAACGAGGGCGACCGCAGCCACGGCCAAAGCTAAAGATGCCACCTCGGACGAGGGTTTAGGGTTTATAGGGTTTAGGGGTTTTGAGTTTAGGGTTTATAGGGGTTTTGAGTTTAGGGCTTATAGGGTTTAGGGGTTGAGTTTAGGGTTTATAGGGTTTAGGAGTTTTGAGTTTAGGGTCTAGGGGTTTAGGGGTTTTGGGTTTAGGGAAGGCTTGTATCCTTGGGAAAGGGAGCCGAGGCCTTAGAGTAGGCCTAATGATTTTGGAGTCAGGCGCCGGGACAGTGGGTTTTCCTGCTGGGTTCAGCCCTAGGAGACAAGGCGTTGAGGCTTCAGGGTTTAAGTCCGAGAGGCCAAACTGCCAAACCACACCTACCAGGTGCGGCGGGCCCCTTTTTGTTCCAAGGTGTGGACCTAGTCTAGCCCTGGATTTGGCCCAAACCCACCGGCCCCAAACCCTAAACCCCCAAACCCCAAACCCTAAACCAACAGCAACGAGACCAGCTGAGAGGATGGCCACGGAGAGGTAGGAGTAGACCCGCATTGGGATGAAGACCATCACGACCTCCAAGGCGGCTTCGTCTCTTAGGCCGGGGCAGGGGGTGATATGATATGAAAAGAAGATATGATAACATAACAAAACATAACATTATATAAGATAACATAATAAAACATAACTTAACATCATAATGTAATATAGAATAATGTGGTACAATGTGAGAAAATGCTTCCCAGGCCAGACCGAGACACGAAACCATGCAACAACCAATATATATATATATATGTATGTATATATATATACGGATGCATATACATATACATATACATATATACATATACATGTACCATGTACCATGTACATATACATATACATATACATATACATGTACCATGTACCATGTACATATACATATACATATGCATATACATATACATATACATATACATGTACGTATACATATACATGTACATATATACATATTATATATATATATGGATATATATTATATTATATTATATTATATTGTATTCTATTCTATTCTATTATATAATTTTTCTCTATATTATATTATATAGCTATATTTACAATATCAAGAAGCTGACATTGAACCCGAAGGCGACGAAAAATCCTCGGCTACTGTTCTGGGCTTAGCTTGCAGAAAGCAGCAGTCGTCAGAGTGACACTGAGACGCGCAAGCCTGAAAATTCGCCAAGTCTTAGGACCCTGCTCGACACAGGTTTTGAAGTGCAGTTGCTGACAAGTCGACATCACTGATTCATAGGACGACGATGGCGCCCATGGTGCAACCGTGAAGAGCGCTTCTTGATCACAGCGGTCATTCTATGCTACTTGCTGGTGATTATGTTGCTGTCATTGGTAACGATCGTGTTGAGGACGATGAAAACGGAGACTGTGACGCGGTCCCTATCTGAGGCTAATTTCATTTCACATCAAAAAAACATCCAGCACGATGAGCCAGCTCTAGAAACAAACAGCTTACGCAACAACTTCTGAACCAGTGGCCCGAAACCTCGACCCCTCAACAGTTGTATAAGCACAAGTCAGCCACTGAGCCCACTTAAAGCCCTGAGCCTTCAAATCCCTAAACCCGGAAACCCGAAATAGCAAAAAAAACAACTTCTACATCCCTAGAGCCTGAAATCCCAAACCCCTAAACCCCTAAACCCTACCTTAACCCAAGAAAAACCTACCTTTTTGGGATCATTCTTATGATTGCTTTAAAAAAGTCAAAAAGGTAGGTTCTTTGGGGCCCTACAACCAAAACCCCCAGGCCCAAACCCAAGAAATCCGGGGCGTAGGATCCGGGCTGCAAGGGCACAGGAGGTCGCGGAAGCTACGCCTGCCCCGACCTCCGGAAAGACCTCCAGCTCTTACCTATAGTCTCCATTGTAGTTCCTTTTTTTGGTTTAACCAATTTTATATTCAGGATCCTAACGGTAAGCCCAAAAAGGAACTACAATGGAGACTATATAGGTAGGATGGTTTCAGGGCACTTGGGAGCTTGTTGCTTAGGGTTTAGGGGTTTATTGCTTTAAGAGACTTTACGGTTTGGGGACAATTTTAGGGGTTCACAGAGTTCAGGGCTTCAAGGCTGACGGTTTGGGGCTTTAGGTTTGGGTTCTCGGAGGGTTCCAACATCCTTTCTTCAGGAATACAGATCAGATTCATGTCACAGATCTCTCCTCTGCGTCTCAAAATCCGTTTTCACATCGCCGGGCCAAGACATATATTGCTCATCAAGGCACAGTGTACAAGGGCTTTTGGGCTGATTCTGCGGCTTTGAAGACGGCTTTATTTTTCCGGACTCCTGCGTCGAAGTCGGAGGGCCCAGAGTTCCTCCGGCTTTGCACTGGCCTTTTTTGGGATCCGGGCCGGCTGGCACCTAGTCCAAAGTTATCAAGACCAGCCTTAGGTGATGTAGGGGCCGTAATAATTCGAATAGGG